CTGTGTAGGGCGGGAAGCATCGCTCAGCTGGTAACCAGGGGCCAGATTCACGAAGCAGTTACGCAAGCACTTACGAACCTGTACATCTTTTCTCAATCGTTGGCGGCTTTGTTTACAATTATTAAACAGTTAAGGGGCTCCGAAGCACCAGGAGGCTGTTTATAACAATAACAACAGTTGATTGGCAAGTTTTCATGCTTGTAAACTGTTTAATAAATGTAACCAAAGCCGTCAAAGATTGAGAAAAGATGTACACGTTCGTAAGTGCTTGAGTAACTGCTTCGTGAATCTGGCCCCAGGTCACAGGTTAAAAATCTGTTCCAAAAATTAAAATCTGGAAAATTTGTACACCTATTTTTTTGTGTTTGATCTTTCCCGGCCAAATTAATTACAAGTTGCCTTTTGAAGGATTGAAGGATTTCCATTCCCCGTTTTCTGTAGCCATGGAAAACGAATATGGTTATTGTTTATTTACAAAATAGCACCCTTGTTGTTGTTATAGATTCAGCTACTCTGAACAAGTTCCAAGTAGCACGGGCTATGGTGAGCCCGTATTAATAGCACCGTACCGTATTTTTTGTTATTAATACATGAGGTACATCTGCATTAGTGCAGCTGCCCTAGACTATATGAAGTGGAGTACAGTGTGTCAAAAAAAAGCTAACTAGGTGATAATCTACGGACTTACATACCCATATTTTAGTATTCTTTCTCCCACTATCCTCACCTAATTTTTGAGATATATACAAGAGTTGTTACATTCTTGTACAGCCACTAGTACGCGTAGCGTTTCGGGCAAGTCCTTAATCCTACGGCCCCTGGAATACGATCCCCTGCCGCGAAGAATCGTTTTTTCATCCAAGTACACATTTTACTGTTGCGTTAAACAGAGGCTACAGTTAAGGAATTGCGCCCAGTAAATCCTCCCCGGCCAGGATACGAACCCATGACATAGCGCTCGCGGAACGCCAGGCGAGTGTCTACCACTACACCACGGAGACTGTTACTAATAATAATACTTTCATTCAAACTGTACTTACCTGATCACCTGTGTATGCGTTGGTTGGGCTTCAGCTCCTGGGCTCCGGGAGGGTGTGTGTGTGTGTGCTGTTCCCCAAATCTATGAGTGGAGTCTTTGTATAGGATTTGTCTCCATCTCCATAGGATTTGTCTCCATACATTTGTTACCTAGCAGTGAATTAGGTACCTGGGTATTAGTCAGCTGTCACGGGCTGCTTCCTGGGGGTGGAGGCCTGGTCGAGGACCGGGTCGCGGGGACACTAAAAGCCCCGAAATCATCTCAAGATAACCTCAAGATAGATCGTATATTCCACTGGGGAGAGCCACTCCATCAAGGCAGCTCTGGTTCAATAGTATGTTTAACCTCCATTTATATAGTTTTTCCATTGAATATATATATATATATATATATATATATATATATATATATATATATGTGTGTGTGTGTGTGTGTGGTGTGTGTGTGTGTGTGTGTGTGTGTGTGTGTGTGTGTGTGTGGTGTGTGTGTGTGTGTGTGTGTGTGTGTGTGTGTGTGTGTCCTTGGAGCTCTCCGGTGCACCTACACGCCAACACTTACCGCGGGATCCAATCTTGGATCTCAATGCTCTCTCAACGCTTCTTCCAACTCCAAGACTCTTCCAGTGTCGCAACGAGATGCGCATTCTTTCTCTCCCTATCTATCTTTATCGCTATTCATCTATCTATTTCTCTATCTATCTATCTGTCTCTCAGATAACCTCGAATACTTTTCCTTCGGAATATTTTATTGGGTTTATCATTGGTCTTGAAATATGGGAAGGATTCGCTCTACTGCGAATCCACCAGTAGAGGATTCGCCTCTACTGGAAGCCTGGTCGACGACCGGGCCGCGGGGACGCTAAGCCCCGGAAGCACCTCAAGGTAAGGTACTGTGATTGGTTCTTCTAGCCAGCGTCTTCCGCCTATGATTGGTCGGCTCTTGAGGGGTAGTGCGCGAATACACTCAGGGATTGGTATCCAGAGATATTATTCCTCGCCAGGGATTAGTGATTCCTGCTTCCTAACTGCGCAACTGATTAGTCCATGAGATTGCCGAGCCACGCAATGTGATTGGTCACCTCTCTAGAGTTGCTTTCGACTCGTGCGATTGGTTAAATGGACGTGAAAAATTAGCCAATTGCCAGCAAATATTTTTACCCCTGCTCTATGCGCTCCGGAACCTTCCCTTCTAGTAAATATGCGAACTCTTTACCACTACACACACTTAGCTCCCCAGCCCAGACGTTGATATCATGGACCCCAGTCACCCTGCCTGTTGATATCAATGCCCTAGACTCCCTCTTCGTTGATATCAATGCCCTAGACTCCCTCAGTGTTGGTATCAATGTCCTAGACTCCCTCCGTGTTGATATCAATGCCCTAGACACCCTTCCTGTTGATATCAATGCCCTAGACACCCTTCCTGTTGATATCAATGCCCTAGACACCCTTCCTGTTGATA